CTGGTGCAGGTCACCTACGTCTGGATCGATGGCAGCGGTGAGGGTGTGCGCTGCAAGAGCAGGACCCTCGAGAAGGAACCCAAGAGCATCGAAGGTAACACCACTGCTTATCCCTTTAGGTGATGGTTGGTGTGGTGGAGAGCCCTGAGCATCTCCAGGGAAAAGTTCTGGGGTGCTTTGGGTGGCAGGAGATGGCACTTGCTCTCCCTGGTTGTGTGGCACTGGTGACACCCGCTGCAGTTGTCTCACGGGGTTATATCAAGCGGCAGGGTAAATATCCAGCCTGTGTCACTGTGGTTTCCTTAACCTGTAGTTATTAGCGCTGGGTAGGACAGGGAGGATGAGTATCTTGCCCCTTTCTGCTGGGCAAAGAGGTGTGGAGACGTGTTGGCATCTGGATGGGGTTTGGCAGAGGGAGGTGAAGCAGCTGGGTCCGATCCTGCCTGTGCCCTGATGGTGCTGAGGGGATGAACACAGTGATGCTCTGGGGATGTGCAAGAAAACTTTTGTGTCCATTATCCCATGGCTCTCGGTGCCATCTCGATGCTCCATCCTGTGTCTAAACCACCAGCACTCAGCACAATCCATATGTGAGAAACCCCTTCCCAATCTTGCTCCCCTCTCTGTCCCCCTCCTGCCCTGCAGATGTTCCCGAGTGGAATTTCGATGGCTCCAGCACGGCGCAGGCTGAGGGCTCCAACAGTGACATGTTCCTGGTGCCCGTCCGCATGTTCAGGGACCCTTTTTGCCTGGACCCCAACAAACTGGTGCTCTGTGAAGTGCTGAAGTACAACAGGAAACCCGCAGGTGAGCACCCCCCAGCTCCCAAGGGTCACCCCTTTATTATTTAGGGTGACATCTCTCTGAGGGGCTCCTCATTCTGCACCGCTGGCAGCGGGGAGCAGATCAGCACCCAGCACACTTGGCTTGAGGCTCTGAAATTCAAGTGCTGGTGGTTGTTTGCAGGAACCTGTTTTAGTGGTGCAGGGTGAGGAGAACAGTAAGACGTGGCGCTTGCCAGCTCACCCAGACTTTGAGCTCAAGTGCACCCAGCCCCTGGGGAGCCAGGTTATGGGGGGGGAGATGAGGCTGGAAGCTCCAGGGGTTTCAATGTGCTGGGTTGGTGGCCGCTCTCCTCAATGGGCAGCTGTGGAAAAGGAGGGAGAAGGTGCTGGGATGGCGTGGGCTGGCTCGGGGTGACCTTTCACAAGCAGCCCCAGCTCTTGGTCTTATCACCGCAGTCCCGGTGTCTGTCCTGTCTGTCTGATAAAGCCCCAGTTGGAGGAGGGGGAGCTGGTCTGCAGGGACACACCGAGGGGCTCCCGGAGGGGTTATTTGCTGGCAGATAAGTGGTTATTTGCTGGAAAAGCGGGGCCGTGTCCCCGCTGGCTGCGTGGGGGGAGGAAACCGGCAGCTGCGGGGGGAAAAACCGGGAGAGGAGAGGCTGTGGGCAGCGATGGTGAAAGATGGGGCTGGTTCCTCTTCAAACAGCATCGTGACTTTCAGCCACGGCGGAAGCCGTCTTGGTTGAGATTCCTGCCCAGCAGCTCCTCCTCAGGAGCAGTTTGTGAAGAGACCCCCTGGTCCTGGAGCTCCCAGTGCTGGAGCTGGGGCAGAGCCCTGTGACACCCCACAGATGAGGGGTGCACCCTCTGGCTCTTCCCAGGGTGGGTTTCCCTGGATGTTCAGGGCTGTGTGGGCTCCAGGGAGGAACTGCCTTCCCCTGTTCCCTCATCAGTGCGAGGGAGATGTCACCCCATGTCGTGGGCTTTGTCACAGCTGCACTGGGGTCTTTTATTAAGATTTAAAGGCAGAAATTGCAGCCTGGAGACTCCCTGTCCCTGTGGCAACAGCTTTTCAGCCACCTTTCCCCAGCTGTTTTGGTCCAGACCCTCTCTGCCCTTGCTTGGCACCTTATCCCATGTCAGATGGTTCTCTGATATCTGTATCTTCCTGGCAAAGCCCTCGTTGCCCCAAGCACCCGTTGCCACCATGAAGGGCCAGGGCAGGGCTGGCCAGCCTGGATGCTAACCAAAAACATGGAGAGGGAGAAAAATAAGGATAATTAAGGTGAGGCTGGGGGTTAAGGAGTGATGGGAGATGTATAGTGCCTGCTCCCAGATCTGCTGGATGCCTGTGGGACAGGGCTAGGGTAGGGTAGGGTAGGGCTCCTGGTGTGTAAGGGGAGGATGTTCATGGACCATCAGCTGTGGTTTTGGGAGTAGGGTAATTAACTCTTTGGCATGTAGCCTGGTGCTGTGGCAATGGAGTAGCTCTGAGAGGAGGAAACCAGTGAGCTGAGAGCGTTGCAGGGAGTGGGGAACTGCTCACCAGTTTCCTTGAGGCTTCTGTGGAAAGCGCTTGGCAGTGGTGGAGTCTCGACCTGTGAGCAGGGTGGAACAGAGCATGGTGGGCGCCTGGCCACAGCATGGGACTGACCCAGATCTCTCTGCTCCTAGAGACCAACCTGAGACACACGTGCAAGAAAGTCATGGACTTGGTTAAGGACAGTCACCCCTGGTTTGGGATGGAGCAGGAGTACACGCTGCTGGGCATCAACGGCCACCCCTACGGCTGGCCCGACAACGGCTTCCCTGGTCCTCAGGGTAAGTGCTCCCTCCCTTCCCCAACCCAAATACTCCCCTTGGCTGCTCCCACCTATGCATCCCATCCCCAACCTTGAGCACAGCTTTCCCATCACGGCTGACACCGGGTAAGAGCCGGAATGAGGTCAGGAGATGTTTGCCAGGAGCACCAGGTGTCCCGTAGCTCACGTGAGCCGGCCGGCACTGCCGCTCCCATCGGATCCTGGTTGCACAAACAGTTCAGCTGCACGACTTGTTTGGCAAGGGCTGGAGAACTTGGGTAGAAAAACTTCCTCCCCGTGGCTGTTTGGGAAAGGACCTGCACATCGTGGCCTCCTGCAGCAGGGAGCGAGCCCCAGCACCCCAGCGGTCTTCTGGGAGAGGGCCAGGGGTTTCCCAACCTGACTTAATCAGCCTTTTGTGGGGACTGGTCTGCTTTCAACATCTCCCTTCCCCCAGGCGGGGAGAAGATCTTCATCTGACTTGCTTGAATGAGGAAGAGCCATTATAAAACCCCAACGAGTTGAATTTTCAAGGCATGAACAATGTTGGCTGTTGTCAAAACAATCTCAGACTCTTGATGTGCTCAGAGGGCCAGCGAGGTGCCGCAGGGCAGACCCAGCCAAGCTTTCCTTATCTTCTGGCCACCTCCCAGTTGATGCATTACAGGTCCTGTTGAACTGCCTAGATAAGGCTGAGGTTACACAGGTGATTTGGTCACACTGCTGGTCCTGGAGTAGAGGTCGATGTACCATGGAGGTTAATACCATTTAATTCCCATAAATCCTCTGCAGATGATGGCTGGTACCTGGGAGTGAATCATCGAATCCCAGACTGGTTTGGGTTGGAAGGGACCTTAAAGCTCATCCAGTTCCAACCCCCCTGCCAGCAGCAGGGACACCTTCCACTAGACCAGGTTGCTCAAAGCCTCATCCAACCTGGCCTTCAACATTTCCAGGGAGGAGCAGCCACAGCTTCTCTGGCCAACCTGGGACACTGTCTCACCACCCTCACACCAAAGAGTTTCTTCCTCACATCTCGGCTCCATCTCCTCTCTGCCACTTTCAAGCCATCACCCCTCATCCTGTCACTCCCTGCCCTTGGCCAAAGTCCCTCCCCAGCCTTCCTGGAGCCCCTTCAGGTACTGGGAGGCCATTAGAAGGTCTCCCCGGAGCCTTCTCTTCTCCAGGCTGAACAGCCCCAACTCTCTCAGCCTGTCCTCACAGCAGAGCTGCTCCAGCCCTTGGATCATCCTTGGTGGGATTACGCCCCAGTGGTGCAGTTGCTCCTAAAAGCTTTATTTGGGTGGTGACTCCTCTTTCCTTTGCAGGTCCCTATTACTGTGGGGTTGGAGCAGATAAGGTGTACGGGCGCGATATCGTGGAGTCCCACTACAAGGCATGTCTCTATGCGGGGGTGAAGATCTGTGGCACCAACGCAGAGGTGATGCCCTCCCAGGTAGGTGTGGATGACCCCGTGCAGCCCCTGTTTCCAGTGATGGATACGAGTTATGAGGCTGGAATAACCCAGCAAGTCCCAGTTCCTCCAGGATGCTGAATCCAGTGACTCCTCACATCGATTTTCTCTGGATGGGAGCAGTTGTGGTGTGAGGATGAAAAAATACATGCTTGATTTTTTCCTAACTCCTCCTGGCATGCAGACCCCTGCTTTTTTGGGGGTAGGCAAGTGAAACCACAGCCCAGCCAAACTGCAGGGAGCTCCTTGCCCAGCTCAGCCTGAGGTGTGGAGCTGGCTGCTCCCCTGTGCTTCCCTTCCATCCCAGAGCAGCGTGAGCCGGGATTGGGATGTGGGAGCAGCACGTGGAGTGGTGGGTGTCTGTGTCCCGGGAAGCTCGGGTGGGACATGGCCTTTGGGAGCAGCTGGGGGGGGTTTGGGTTGATTTGGGAGTTAACTGGAGGAAGTCCCTGATTGCATTAGGTGGTGGCCAGACTGACCGAGGGCGATTTGGCCCCAAAGCCTGTGAATCGCTGACTCTCCCGCTGCTGATGTGGTGGTGATAAGCAGGGGGGGGTTATCTACAGTGCCGCTGAGGCAGGACTTTTAATGACCCTGCTGTTTGCCCAGACCTTTTCAGGGTCTTTCTTGGCTGCTCTCAGCATCCTGAGCTCTGTCTGGACCAGGCCATGCCAGCAGCTGTAAATGTGTCACCCTGGGCTTAGTCACTGCCGGTGGCGCAACCTGGGTACAGCTGGGGAGGGAGCAACCCTGGGAAGGACTAAAAGGCTCCTTGTTGGTCCCCTGCCCTGTTTGCAGTGTGGGTTAGGGGATCCTGCACCCCAGCAGCTCCAGCACCAGCCTCAAAAGCAGACATGGTGCTTATTTACCTCTGCTTGGAGTAAAACCTCCCTGATTTGCTTTATTTAGTCACGAGCAGTTTATTCCCAGTTTTTTTTTGCATGCCAAAGCTGTCCTGTTGCTTAACTCCATGTTTCTCATCCCTGTGGCTGATTCCCAAGGGGTAAAGCTCAGCCCTATCCTGGGGTAAAGCTCAGCCCTATCCCGGGGTAAATCTCAGCCCTACCCCAGGCTGAGCTGGGGAGTAACAGGGATGTGATGACCAAGGAGACACAAACCTCCCAGTCCTCACCAGTGCACCCACTTGCCCCTTCTAGTGGGAATTCCAGGTGGGTCCATGCGAAGGCATCGAGATGGGGGATCACCTCTGGATGGCTCGGTTCATCCTTCACCGTGTCTGTGAGGATTTTGGGGTTGTGGCTACTTTGGACCCCAAACCAATGACTGGCAACTGGAACGGCGCC